TGTAGTCCACCTTGCTAGATTTATCAGTTGCAAGACAGTGTATTTGTTGGGATTTTGACTTAGTATTTTCTAATTAAAATAGGATTATGTTTGTATATCCCATAGATAATTTAATTTTTATTTTTCTGATTCCAATGGGATTGTAATGGGACTGTTTAAAATCCCACATTGATTAGAAACAAAAATCCAATTCTTTTGTATCCCTACGATAGAGACTTACGTTGCACGTAGGATCCGTTTGATAGCATTAAATATCATGAAAAATGTTACATTCGAGGAATTTGTTTTCTACTTAACTGTTTGATACGAATGTGAAAATGAAGTTCGACTTTCAAGGTATAAACACTTAAAGCATGTTTTTGGCCAATTGAGTGGAAATCGACATCTTATGGTTTTTATGATTTTTTCTTTTCCAACTTACATAAAATTGGTTTGCCCTTTTCACCATAGCAATCAATTAAACGAACCCTTAGATTTATCAAAATCTCCCAAATGAGCAAAGGCAGGATATTGCAACCGTTTTCAATTCTAATACCGTTATTTGACCTAAACTTAAGATGCTCGATTTGATTTGATTCAATTGAGTACTTTTCCCGATCCATAATCAAGACAATGTGTAAATTTCAAAGAGGTAATTCTATTTTACTCTAGTGTCAATTTATTAATTATTCTTTAATTTTATTTAATTGTGTATCCAATTTCATCTCTTGAAGTAATGAAAATTAATGACATATTAGTGTATGCATTTTTATAATGGATAATTATATTGTCAATATAATTTTTATTTGATACACTACATTTTTAATTACAATTAAGCTCTTCAATCTTTGTTCATAGCAACAATTATTTTATTAACTTTTTTTTAGTTGAATTCTTATATTCAACTATATATTAATTATTACGTCTCATTATTGATGATGATTTATATTAAAAAAATTATTTTCATGCTTTCAAATAAGGAAAAAAAATATTTTTCGCACTTTTATTTATTTATTTTTAAAAATACGATGAAAAAATAAATTATTTTACATCATTTCAACGAATTTTTGGACATAAAACCATTATTAAATACTAAATGTGTTAACTAATGATAAGTTTGAGTATAAATATGACATTAAAAATCGTTAGGGACATAAGTGCTATTAATAAAGATTAAGAACTTCAATTATAATTTTTTGTTGGTTTTTTTTTAACAGTGCACACAAATAAGAAAAAAAAAAACACAAACCACACATTGTCTCTAACATTAAATTAAAAGAAAAGGATGAGAACTTCCTTGAATTGCCTGAATTGTCAATAATGGTCTGGTGCTATGATGTTGGACTTGATTGATACTCCTTCTAGTTTCTTCGCCAAACTTGATATTTATCCAGTTACTCCTCATCAATGTTGGTTTGATTGTTTCGCGACATCATATTCCTGAAAAATCAAATTTTAGATATTAAATACATGGAACAAGTGTTATTTATCTTAAACATCTAATAACCAACTTGACTACTCAAAGACCCAAGGGAAAACGAGATATGGCTGATGGTTCCTAAATAAATTGTAAAAATAAACTAAACTATCCTATAAGTAAAAAATAGAGTAAGTAAAAAAAAAAAAAAAGTCTTGGGTTGCCTCCCAACTTATTTATAGTCATTAGCTTGACTTTGGTAATTGCATCATGGAACTTTAAGGAATGCTTTGGATGCCCTGCCCATTTTTCTTCTCTTGGCTTTGCTCCACTTTTCGTTATTTTTCCAAACCTCGTCATTGTTATTTTCAATGTAATAGGATCTTTTCATACCATCCAATTCAAACTCAACAGTGTAGATTTCAACCTCCTCATTGGACTTAATCACAAATTCAATCTCTATACAATCAATGAATTCGGAGGAATGTACGTTGCTTTCATCTTCATTAATTTCTACATCTTCGTTTGGTTCCTTTGTGATCAAGTTGTCATTCACTTCAAGCTCTTTTATCATTGAAATTTCTTTGGATTGAGTGATTGATCCACATTCAAGATCCACGGACAATGAGAAGTCTTTCTTTTCAACCCCTTCGAGTGGATTGTATTTCCACCTTTTGAATTCACTCTAGTACTTCCAATCCCCAATAGGTCCGTTGCGCTCTTCACCTTTAACAAGTGTATTATAGTACTTTACAATTACCCTCTCATTCAACAGAGGCGGACCATTTCCCATAAGTATGATGTCCTCATCCTATTTAACAGGCACATAATCTCCCAAAGGCATGTAGTTTTCATCAAATTTGTGAATCGCTTCTTTTCGATATCTTAAATAATGTATGAACCCTAGAAGCTTTACTGTTCGAGGGTTGGTGGATGTATGCCAACAGTGCTCAGTGTAATGCACCCCATAGCAAATTTAACAGAAGAGATTCTCATCATGCACATAGTTTGTATACATGTTGAGATTACTTGTTTCAACTGCTCTGCTCTTTTGCCAATGTTGGAATCATGCATATACTATTGAGTAGTACCTAGAAAGAATACCAAAAAGATCAAGGTGGGTAACCAAAATAGACAAACTAGAAAAAAAAGAAAAAAAATCTAAATTAAAATAGAAATTACTTGGTAATAATATTAGTAAAAATCAAATTAACAATTCCCGACAACGGCGCCAAAAACTTGCCACGTGTTTTATGCAATGTGATTTATACCGCAAGTATACAGTGTCAAGTTTTGTAATATAGTTTTGAAGTAAAAGTGTCAAACCCACAAGGATTGTAATTTAATTTCTACCAAATACTATAATTGGGTAGCTTCTATTTCATCTAGACGAATGGAATTTGAAATCAATATTGTTAACTAATCTGACGATGATTTTGGTGATGACTTTAAGGGATGCAAATTATACGAATAAATCAAGATGGAAAAACCTAGGGAATGATTTCACCTAACTATCAATTACAATTCATTTATGTCTAGTTATTTTAATCAATTTTTCATGTTTAAAAGCAAGAATCCTAATATATTTCTCAGCCCCTCTCTCGAGCTCCGACTATAAATTAATCTTAAATTTCAATTCCAATATCTCAATTCCAAATCAAAATCAAGAATTTATTGAAGTCTCGATTTTTTTATGGAGTAAGCTTCATAGATTCTATATTTTCTACTAAAACACATAAAACCTATGTTGTGTCAATCCTATGATCATGCCTGAATTTGATCCATTTGACATCTTTCTTCATCCAATTGACTCTTAACACTCTTGGATCTTTTTCGTGAGATTCGACACAACTTTTGAATATTTGTACTTTAGTCCCCAAACTGTGAATTTCTTACAATTTGGCATTTTTCCCAATTTCGCCAACTTTTGCTTATTTTATTCAATTTCATCAACTTATATCACAACATCAAAACATACATTAAAATGTTCTAAAGCACTCTTCATGGTATCAAAATAATGAATTAAGTGGTACAAATATAATGATTATCGAGCATTCATCGGTCGCTAATGAATAGTCTTTTTTATCCAAGAGAGACAAGGATATCCTTGGAAAAGGATACCGTATGACATCTCGTTAGTCAATAAGTTTTTATGACAAAGGGTGTGTTATTGTTAGTGGATCCACGATCCAATGCTGGGGTGTGCTTGAAGTTTTTTGGTATATGTAGTGATGTTAATGAGTCGAGCCGAATTGGCTCGCGAGCTAAAACTCGAGCCTCGTGTTTGGCTCGAGTAAAATGATCCAAACTTTTTTGAAAGCCTGAGCTGAGCTGAGCTTTTACCTGGTCAAGAAATCTAGGCTCGGCCCTAAAGTTTAGGCCTTAGAGCCGAGCAGGCTCAATTTCTTTTATATATAATTAAATGGTAGCATCGTGCTGCTTTTTTTTAATAGGCAGCAACATGTTGCCTTTAACCCTTCTTTGTTATAAGGTCCGTGAGCTCGAGCCTGCAAACCACACGGGCCGACTTTAGGTTTTTTCGGGTTGTGTAACGGGCGGTTCGAATCGATGAGTCTGATTGCCATCCTTAGGTGTATGAAAAATTCTGTATAATTGTACAAAATTTTCAAATAGTTGAATATTTTTCCATTTATTAGCACGTGATATTTCTTCAATTTTGGAGTTTTTAAGTTAACTTTGTTACTTCATACATTTTATCTGTTGTGTGTTTCAAATAAACTCTCTAAATAAGGATACCATAAATAAATCTAAAAGGGATTTGCCCTTTGAAATTATCAAGGTTTCGACCCGATTAATATCTAGAAAAGGATGAATAGGTGTATAAGATATTGCAAGCTCTTGATTAGAAACAATAAACAGGACAGCACTTCTCATGTTAGGTCCTTAATTAATCATGTCAGTCCCTTGATTGAAATGATAAGTTACTTGAATAAGATAACCCCTTCTTCTTAGAAGAATCGCGTTAAAAATAGTAAACTCTTCGATCAAAGTGATGTAGTGAATTACGATGTTGCTCTTAAAGGTAAAAGCTTTTATTTTTCTCATTTAATTGGTCTCTTGGTGCATGCATTTGCAAATCACTAATGTTAATCAAACAGGGTTGCTGACACGATTTTTATAGTCTTGTCAAATACTCTTGTTTGGGTAACACATCTCTTTTGCAAATTCATTGTGTCTACATATTCATGCGTCCACTCTAATTATTTTTTATCTCATTTTTTTGCAGTTTCTTTTTAAAATAAAATAAAAAAGAAAAAGATTTTTTTATGACAACACTTTAAAGTGATTGAACATGTTATTTTGTGATTGAGTACTAGTAAAACAAATGGACATGAATAAAGTTTTCATTGACTTAATTTAGAATTTGTTTGAAGTACTTGATATAAGTTTTCGTATGCATCATCTGCTCTATACACACTGAGTTCTTGCGAGTGAGTCTAGACCAAATGCAACACTTCTAAAATTTTAGGGTCAAAATGCAAATCACTCGAAAATCAAAGGGCACATGTAGTTCATTCAACTCAAGTTAATGCCGCGTACATATAAAAGTGAAAAGGAAAGAAATGGAAAACAATCAAATACAGTGCGGACAACCGAGTCCCAATTTCCAGGACAGATCTCTCCATTTTTCTCTCCAATTCTCGCCCGGTATGGATTTTCAACTTACCAATTAGTCCATTTTTCTTCTGCTCTGAATCATGGATATAATTATTGTAATAATTCTGGAAAATAAATACCAAGTATCCAGCAATCTACAGTGATTTTTCTGAATCATTTTCGATTGATGTAATGTTTGAAGGACGGAATTTTTTGACGTTTTGTTGACTGTAAGAAATTTTTAAATTCTTAAAGATCCCTTTGGGTTTGAATGATTTTCAGAATATTTTGGGGGGAGACACATCAAATTTGGAGTTTGCTTTTTCGAGAAGAAAACCACTGATTCAATATCTGGGCGTTTTAATTGATTATTAGGTAAATCGCAGAACTCAAAAGGGAGATTAGAAAATTTTCTGTATGTTTTATGTGTTTTGGTAGTGCAAATCGATATAGCATACATGGTTATTATAAATCTCGAATTTATTTGCTATTCACTTGATAGACGAGAAATAAGCTACGTTTTTTTACCATGTAACAATTCTTCTTTTTAACTTGTGTGGGTGGAATATTGGTGATATAGAGGCTTATATGCCCACACACATATAATATGTTCATTTATTTGAGTTTTAGTTCGTTTTTTTTTTAGATTGTTCTGTATAATATGCCAGTATAACTTCTTTCTTGTTTGGGTTTTCTCTTTCAAATTCTCTTATTCATGTCCTATTGTAGAAATGTATGATAATCTTGGAGCACAACCTGGGGTGCGGTTACCATCATCGAACACACAGCCAAATCCGTTTGGGGATACATTCTATGGTGCTAGTTCTGGATTTATTAGAGGTGGACTGGGTGCTTACGGAGAGAAAATCTTAGGATCCAGCTCTGAATACGTGCAAAGCAATGTAAGAGCTCACAGGGCTTGTGATTTGAAATTACGGTGTAGTTTTGAAGGGTGTTGGATAACTTCCAGTGTTCAACTTTGTATAGCTTTGATAATGCTGATAAATGTGATCTTGTTTTTTTATTATTTATGCCTCGCGGAGTTGGAATTTTATTATAATATTTCCTCCTTCTTTTTTGTTTATTTGAATAACAGATTAGCAGGTATTTCTCTGACCCTCAATACTATTTCCAAGTGAACGACCATTATGTAAGGAATAAATTGAAGGTTGTTCTTTTCCCATTCCTTCACAGGGTAAGAATTTCTTCCTCCACATATTTACCTTGTACTTGTTCTGCTCCATTTCGGAAGCAATTCTATCGTTTCATTGATTTATTCAGGGCCATTGGACAAGAATCACTGAGCCTGTGAGTGGTAGGCTCTCCTACAAGCCCCCAATTTATGATATCAATGCTCCAGATTTGTACATTCCATTCATGGCATTTGGTACCTATGTTGTCCTTGCTGGCTTGTTATTGGGTTTTCATGGAAAGTAAGTCAGTCAAGCCATCTCATTTTTCTTTTCTATAGACTGTTATCGTTCTTTGTGAAGTAAACCTCTTGCTTTATAGCTTGGAGAGAATACGAGTAGTGTAGTTGAGAAATGAATTCAAAATATCTAGATTTGATGTATTCCTCTTTCGTAGGGCCATCTTGAAATGGCCACCTTGGTGTCGTAGATAATAAGAATATTATCCTGCCTTCCCATCTCTTTCTGCCTATGTCAGTCTGTCCTATTGTCGAGTATTCACGGAAAGTAAATTTGGACAAGCTACCCTCAATTTCTATTGTTGGTATTCTTAACAGTTCCTCCTATCTTCCCCTGAAGCCAGGTTCCTTTTCATGAGAAAATGCACAGCATACTTTAAAATCGAGTTGATTCATCAGTGTTTTGGCTATTCCAAACTTCACTTGGAAGTTTCAAATTTTATTGAGAAGACAAATGCACATTTTTTAATATCTTTTGCTTGTAGGTGAATACTCACCGATGAAACTATGCCCTCGTTTGGCTCCCATTCTCTTTTTCTCTCTTGTTTTCAACCATACAATCTTCCATAAAATAATATTACACGTGAATTGAAAACTTTTCATTCTTTTTCAACCACACATTTGTTAAAAAACCACTATTTTTACCATTAAATTTTGAAAAGAATGGGGGCCAAATAGGGGCTATATTTAACATTATTGCCTTATGCTACTATATCAAACTTCTTGTTAAACAAGGTTAAAGAATTATAATTTTTGTGCCACCAGGGGTGGTACTACATTTTTTTTCCTTTTCTCGCTCTCTTTTTCTCTAATGGTTGGTTCAGCATTTAATTTGCCATACTAAAACGTTTACAAGTTATATAAAATAAATGGGAATAATTCCTCAATGCCGCCCGTCCCCGTCCCTGTCCCCATTCCCCATTCCCATCCTCATCCCCATCTCCATCTAGGAGTGGGCGGTTTGATATAAAATCAAACCAACCCAACCCAATTAAATATTGGAACCCAACCCAACTCAACCGAATCAAGTCTCGGTCGGGTTGGGTTGATCGGTTTGCACAAAGTGTAATAAAATATACTCAAATAAAACCGATACGTCATCCAAATAAGATTAATATTTAATAAAGGTACAACCATCCAAATAAATATTCACCCAACTACAACATACAGTTTACCAATGTCATATTAACAAGGCTTTGCAGTCATTGTGCAACTAGTTATTATAAGGATAGTTATAATAAGATTATTATAAGTATTATAATCTACATGCTCAGATTGGCATAAGTTACATGTTCATGGAAAGGTACAACATTCTTGACCAAAATGCCCCCTTCATCCTCCAAAACTCCTTCCAATAGATCAAAAGGTTAGCCGTTGCCTTTTGGTACTTCCCTTTGTGGTACCATGATCTCTACGTAATTTTTCCATCTCAAGTTGCTGTATCCTCCTCAAAATCCCTTCCACCTGTTGAACTGGTATCTACCTAGGAATTCTTGATTGCTGCATTACCACGATAAATTTAGATTGATGGCTGCTCTAATTCCAAAATTGAAGAGGAAACAAGCTTAAACCAACAAATGATAGAAAATAATGAAGAAATAAAGGGACAATAGCAGAGATCGAAGTAAATACTAGAGAATTAGCGCTTTAGACTTAAATCACAACAAATTAAAATTTCTGTACTAGAGAATAAAGTTCTTCAATCAATGTTTTTGTTGAATTTTCACCTATACCTAGGCTTTAGAAACCTAAGACTTCAGAACAATTCTAACTAGGAAACTTGTATCAATAGGAAAGTCCAAAACCCAACGTAACTCGAAAAGTTAAACCTGTAGGAAAATTCTAGAACCTACTATAATTAGGAAGTTTAAATCAGTAGAAACTTATTCTAGCTAAAACTTAAAAGAAAAGGAACAAACAAATTTAATGTGTCAAAACTAATCCAAGAAGGATTAGGGAAAAAATCCTACCCTACATAGCTTCATGAACAATACATAATTTCTTCAGATAGGATTTTGAAGATGGTTTGCAACTGTACCTTCAGATGACCAAGAGCATTTTGGGCTCTTTGGTCAGCCGTGGATGCTTCGAAATCAACATAGAAAAGATATGGGAAATACCTGGAAGAATGTGATGTCTGATTAGAAATAAATGCTTGCAAAGTAATAAAATAGCCAGATGTTTAGAGATGTGATTGGTAATCAAGCGTCTATTGGAACCAAGTATGTGTCTACTATAACAAAATGCAGTACACTCATATGTAGACATGTTTTTGCGACTTCATTTACAAGATTAATAACAAAAGATCAACAGTTTGGTGAGCATTTACTTGGGAAATCCATTGGTACCGTCATCAAGTGTTGGCAAAGTTTGCTTCTGCAGTGGACGGCTTTCAATCTACATAGGCAGAAAATTAACACTGAATTTGAGACATGGACAATAATTGACCAGAGACGATGCTTGCAGGATCAAAGGAAAGAAAAACTCACCTTTGTAAGGTTAATATTCCTCATGGCGAAAACGGCAAGTGCTTTGAAAAGCATCCCTGGACCTTCCTCGAGTGAGAAGACTATACTTGTCTGATAAATGAATAATATGACAAATAACTAGTTGCACAATGATTGCAAAGAGGGTTGTAGTTACACAATGACTGCAACTAAATATCCAAATAAAATCGATACGTCATCCAAATAAGATTAATATTATAAGAATTTTAACAAGGCTAGAGACATAAATTTTACTTACAAACAGCAGGAATAACAAAACCAAGCTCAATTACATTAATATATAGCAAAAGTAATTCTGTAATACTAGAGCTCTGCAGTATTAAGTGTCCTGTTAGCATAAAAACTGTAAGTCAGTTCTACAAAGATAAAAAAACTGATGGAAACATACAAATCATGAAATTATTGTCAGATTAATATGGCTACCTCAAAAGTGAAAACATGTAAAATGAATGAATCATTTAGCATTGGACCCTTGGTCATCTTCAGTTGAATTTGAATTCATTGATTCTAAAAGTTCATCCATTTGGTTGTAATGCTCAACATCTTCCATACAAAAACCATCCAAGTTCGGAGAAGCTTTCAACCAATTTTGAGTGCATACTAAGACCTCGACCATTCTAGGACTCAAGGAACTACGAAAAGGATCAAGTATCCTTCCTCCAGTACTAAATGCACTTTCTGATGCAACAGTTGAAACTTGAATAGCCAACACATCTTTGGCCAAATTCGACAAGACACCATACTTATTTCCGTTCACCTTCCACCAATCTAGAACTTCAAAATCCTTATTCTCTATGCTTTCACGAGCATCCAATAAGTATCGTTCAACATCACTTTTTATCTCAACCTTATCCTTAATTGCTTGTTTTTCCATAAATCTAGAAAGACGAGCATCACTCATAGAAGAACATCCTTTATAAGTATTGATAGAACTTGAAGACTCCTCAGTTGATGCTTGACTACTTCCATGAATACCTTCATGACTCACATACCACTCATAAATAGCCATCAAATTTGCTTTCAAAGATTTCATCATGTTACTAACAACTTCCCAATCCATATATAGATCATTCAAACAATATTCAACATAATCCATTTTGTATCTTGGATCAAGAATAGTAGCAAAAAGCAATAATTGATTCACATTTTCCATTTTACCCCAATACTTATCAAACTTCTTCTTCATGTTAGTTGCCATTTCACCCAACGAAAAATTTCCACTTTATATCCATTCATCCAATTCGATTACAAGATTACAAATTTCATGAAGATAAGCACAAGCACTCACTTGCAATGAAGCACTAAACTTCAAAGTCATGTTGAAGAAATTTTTAAGAAATTTAACAAACACGGATGCGCTTTCCCAATCTAAATTTGACGGAAGTCCACCCCTTTTTCTACCACTATAATCTTCTTGAAAGTAATGCAAATACTGATCATCCTCTTCTTCTAACCTATCGAAAGTTTTTTCAAATTTCAATGCCGTTTCCAACATCAAATAGGTAGAATTCCACCTAGTTGGAACATCCAAAAACACAATAGACTTGCAATCAATTTTCTCTTTTCTTGCACACTCCTTCAATTTTTCATACCTAGAGGGAAAAGATTTCACATATTTGATTGCATTGCGAATATTCACAATAGAGTCATGTGCTTCCCTTAACCCTTCACTAACAATCAAATTGATGATGTGTGCACAACATCTCAAGTGCAAATATTTCCTATCTAGAATACATCCACTACTACCCCAAGAAACTACCTTTCGCCTAAGATAAGAAATGGCTGTGTCATTGGAGCTTGCATTATCAACAGTGATTGCAAAAATTTTCTCTACCCCCCAATCATGCAAACAAGACTCAATCATTTTTCCAATTGTTTCTCCCTTATGATTTGGAACAACACAAAAACTCAAAATACGCTTATTAAGCGTCCAATCAAGATCAATGTAGTGTGCTGTAAGAGACATGTAATTAACATTCTGAATAGAAGTCCAAGTATCAGTTGTAATGGAAATCCTTTGACGATGAAAAGAAAAGGCATCTTTCAATTTCAATTTTTCATCTAAATACAACTGATAAATATCTCTAACAAGAGTCCTACGAGATGGAGCCTTAAATTGAGGACATGCTACACTACAAAAGAGCCTAAAACCACGAGCTTCAACAAACTTAAAAGGTAATTCATCCAAAACTATTATTGTAGCACATGCAACTCTACACTCTTCTTTGCTTCGACCAACAGCAATAAGATTGCTACTTCCACCCTCTTTCTTGTTCTCAAATGATAATGTTTTTTGCTTCTTATCCACTAATCTACCAAGATATTTCTTATATTGATTTGTCAAATGATTACTCAATGTACTAGTACCACACTTCTTAGTACCACAAGCATAATCTACTCCACAATAATTACACTTGCACCTAACATCTGGATCATCCCTTGAGCCCAATAGAGCGAAGTGATCCGAAACATAAGAAGCTAATCTATTAGGTTTTCGTTTACCTAATGTTGATGGTGCACGTGGAGGAAGACCAAATTGCAAATTTATGTCATTTGATTGAGCTTGTGTGCCACGTTCTTCACATACATCCATATCTACCAACATATTCCACAAAAATTATGAATACACCAAATACATCTATTTAATTACAATTATTAAAGCACTACAAGAAAGGAAGAATATTGCACCTGAGTCCATTACTTAAGGACAATGCAAGTCATTCTGACTCCAATTTCCAAAAGATCCACAATTACAGAGACTGAAGAAGGTCTAGCTGCTTCTCTAAAATACTGTAAGAAAGAAGCAATTCCAATTTTACTTAATATACTATTAAAAAAGGAGATGCTTGCTGAAACAAAATCAATATTAAACCTACATTTTCGTTTGTATAAATCATGCTGGGAAGTGTACATAAATAGTTTGAATTATAGATAGATAGATGTGAGTAGTAGATAAGTGGACTAATTAATGGCGAAATGAATTCTGCCATATATTTCCGATTAGTTATGTCACAAATTAAGGGACCACTTGAGGAAAATGGTGCAAACTAAAATGAGCCGCCATATTTTGTGCATCTTTTAGCAACTCCTCTCTACTCCCACCCGAACCAAATTTCAGACACAACCTCAGCAAAAACACTTCATGCAAGACAATCCTAGCTAATGCCCCAATCCCACACCTCGTGTTCATCTGATTCCAAACATCATCACTCAAAATGGGGAAAAAAGCCCTCAAATCTTCCCTATTTGTACAACTCCCTCCACCTCGGTCAACAGTCCAAACCCTAACCAAATCCTCAAAACACAGCACTGATTTATCAATATCAACAATTCCATTTGCATAATCATCGACCCCACAGTATACCATAATATAGCTAACCATTTTCTCTACCAAATCTCCAACCTCCATTCTCAAACTAAACCCATGTTTCAAAAAATCATACAAAAAATTATACAGCTCGTATACAACAGGTGCAAGCAGCACAATTTTTTTCGATGCGCTACTCAAGTTAGAACACGAAATTAGTAAATTCAACAGGTCACTAGCTACAAGAATTCGAGTGGAAGGATTGTGGTTCATGGTGTGTGTGAGTTTGTGATTGTGGTTGGTTGTGTGCTAAAAAGGTAAAAATGACAAGAAAGTTGGTTATTGACCTTTGTTGAGCCGGCGACAACTGAAAAATGTAGCTCTCCGACGATTTTGAGAGAAAATGACGGGAGATACCGAGAGAAATTAGGGCTTGGGTCTTGCGGCTGTGATTGTGGTGAAGAAGTAAAGTGAAATTTTAGGTTTCTTTTCCTTTTATAGTAGGTCATTTTTTTCACTTAATTTTGCGGGTTGAGTCGGTTTGGGTTCTTTCGGTTTTTTTGGTTTAACCCACCACCCGACCCAAACCGACCCAACATCATAACCCATTACCCGAAACCCGCCAAAAACACAAAAAAAGCGACCCAAACCAATCGGTTTGGGTCGGTTCGGGTGGTTTTCGTGGGTTGGCTTGGGTTTTTCCCACCCCTATCCCCATCCCCATTCCCGTTTCAACGTTTTCCTTTACCTCACCATCTCTGAATTCTGAATGTAGTATGCTTCCTACCTTCTCTCTCTACATTTACCCACTGTCAAATGTTAAAAAAGCTCTGGTGTCTTTTCTATTGCTTCCCAGGTTTAGCCCAGAAGCTCTGAACTGGCTGTTCGCCAAGGGCTTGGTAGGCTGGTGTTTGCAAGTTATCCTTCTGAAAGCAACATTGTTTACATTGGGTAGTGGCAAGGCGCCTTTGCTTGATATGGTGGCATACGCTGGATACACTTTCACGGGACTGTCTCTGGCTATCTTGGGGAAGATTGTCTGGAACTATTCGTACTACTTTCTGATGCCGTGGACGTGCCTTTGTATGGGGATTTTCTTGGTGAAGACAATGAAGAGAGTTCTTTTTGCTGAAGTGAGGAGTTATGATTCGAGCAGGCATCATTATCTTCTATTGCTCATCGCCTTGGCACAGTTCCCACTATTCATATGGCTGGGAAACATTAGTCTCAACTGGCTTTTTTGAGATGCATGCCTTCAAGAAGTTGTTGTGAATAGTTCATCTGTGTAATGACAGTAAAGATTTTTTTCCAGGCGATTTTATTAATAGATTGTTTGATCTCTTGGGTTCTTGCTTGATATTACGGATTGAGGGCTAAGGGCATGTTCGATTTTTTTTCCCCTCCTCAAAGACTGTTTAATTCGTGGATTGAACCATTAGTAAGAAAATGAAGTAAAATCTTATACGTTGGATCTTTGGTCCTGTTTAGTAGCAAGCACTAATTGATGAACATTTCTGACCATTCGTAGTTAATTTTAACAAGTAACTTCTTTTTTTTCTTCCTCTCTTTTTCTTCATTTTGAATCTTGAGACATATTGTCTGTACACTGAAGTTAACTCTCGTGAGGGGTCTGTACCCCCGTGTACAAATAGAAAAATCCTTGAATCTTAAAGGATTTTATTTTGGCAAGGACAATTTTATTTTGCTCTTGATATAGGTATTAATTATAGTATTAATTCCCTCCTACTTTATCATTATGAGAACTTCTAATTTACCACTCTTTCTAAAATTGGATCTCTAAATTTTAATTTGTCTCGATAGGTGTGAGGAGTTAATTTCAAAACCAAAATAAAGTTCAGTGACTCAATTATGACAAATTAAAGTTTTGTATTCAATTGAAATAATTTTCTAAGTTGAGTGATTTGAGCTTAAAACTTCATCAATTCCAAGTGTATTCTCCTATTTTAACACCTGTAATTCGGAGAAATTGACAAGGCATCGATTAAAAAAAAAAAAATACGAATTTTTTTGAATAAGCTTTGGAGGGAATTTGAAAACCCACCCAAACAACCCTGCAAACAACATAGCCAAATTATATGCAATTTCAGATCTTAAAAGTTAGTCAGTTTTCTGCTAAATATAAAGCAGTGTGTTCATAGGAATACAGGATACGGATACCAAGGCTCTATACGTCTACATTTGTGTCGTGCTCCATCTCCACAATGTAATTTCTTATTATAGTATTGCTCAGTAATATGAATGTTTGATATGCAGTATTAGATCGTCCGTGACTATATAATTAACAGAATATGAATACTCATTTCATGGGGAAGATAGTCTAATGTGCCGTACATAGTCCGATTGCGGTTAATCGTGTGCCACATAGAAACACTAGGAAACATTAGTAAATTGATTTTGTGCTACATTTTTTTTTTTCAAAAATAAGCACAACTGGAAAATGGAAACGCATCTACATATATATGGTATGATCAGAAGATACTCCAGTTTGAAATCTATATGTATATGCTCTTGTGTGATAATTACAAGCGTACGATAGGAATCGAAAGAGTCTGAATTATCATTCCCACGACAATTTTCTATCTAACTATTGGCTTAACTATACCTAACTTCTATTTGAATAAAAACATTTCAAAGTGATTTTAATTATGATTCTAATAATTATTAATCTTTGAAAACAACTCAAATGTGCCGGAAAAATAATTTTGAGTTTTTTTACTAATGTATGAAAAGTGGTAGAATTCACGAATTCAACATAGTTACTCTCTTAATCTTAATCACCGAACTTTGACAATAATCTATTGAGTTCAAATAAATCATATTCAATTAAGTCAACTTCTTCAAACATAGCTCTATTTTTCTCCATTTAAATATATGTTTGTGTCCCTCGTGTCTCTCTTGTGCCTATCCACTAAGAGGGATAAAAAAAAGGTCTGGTCTTCCTCAGTATTCATCTAATCTATAAAGACAGTAAGAGCCCTTTACAAAATTTCTCTTAAGCCAATGATCCAATCAGAGAAATAATTGGAACAAGCGTATCGAACTTCTGTTTTTATGGCGTCAAATTTCTCTTTATGATATTCTATTATGTGGTATAAAATCCCCTTAATATGTATGTCCTACAATCGGTCTTTGTATAGACCACAAACCACCTTGAAAATCGTGCCACCAAAAGGACCAATATACCCTACATATTATTTGTATACAAAACCTAAAATTCTCGGTCGGGCCATAGTGAGGCTACAATTCGAACCACGACAAAACCAAGAGTAATTAATTGTCGCAATTAGCCCCAACTTGCCTACTGCGGTTGTATCACAACGTTGGTAAAGTGTAAATCTATTTTTTTTTTTTTTAATTCAAATTTCAATTTTTACTATGTGGTCTAAATATATAATTCAACTATATCAATGAAATAATGGCCAGTTACTTCAAACATAAAGAATAATACTAATAACCATTCACTTTTAAAAGCATCCAAATTGGTCTTGAAACTCCATAATCATTCAAAATTGATCCTTCTCAATTTTCAAAAGTGTGACAAAATAAAATTAGAGCCGTACATTCTACAACCAAATGTTCGAACATCAAATTTTGATTTTGAAAAGAAAATGAAGGTGAAATTTGAGTTTTAGAAGTTAGATGTATAACTTTGAGAGTATATACAGATGAGAAGACAAGCAGAGAAGGAGGAAAAAAAAAAAAGGAATAGACAAAAAATAGTTATTTGAGCCAATGAGGTTGTAATCTAAATTTTTGTTCATTATGAATTATCGAGTGCTCTAAATGGTGTAAGCTGTGAGCAGATTGCGCAAATCAGTTCCCAAACTTTAGATAAATTAAATTTCACTCACAAAACTTATGACTTTCCTTCAATTGCTCTCTTAATGCTTCATATCAATCCTATGTAATCAAGTTAGTCTTCAGTTATTTGGAACCAACTCAAATTATGGTCAAAATCCTCCTTTTTGCTCTAGTATCTCCAAATATGGATTTAAAGTATGAAGACAAAACTTACGTCAAAATAAGTAGAAATTCGCTCAATTTGTATGTGTGTGTGTCTATATATATATATACAAAGTGCTTATGGAATCTACAAGACAGACTTCTACAAATGATACAAAATAAAATTAGTCTTACATTCTACAAACAAATGTTCGAACATCAAATTTTGATTTTGAAAAGAAAATGAAGGTGAAAATTGAGTTTTATAGGTTAGATGTATAACTTTGAGAGTATATACAGATGAGAAGACAAGTAGCAAAGGAGGAAAAAAATAAAAAAAAATAAAATAAATCAATAGACAAAAAAAATTTAGTTGAGCCAATGAGGTTGTAATCTAAATTTTTGTTCATTATGAATTATCGAGTGCTCTAAATGGTGTAAGCTGTGAGCAGATTGCAAAAGGTCGAGTGTGATGTTGTAGTATGTTCCAAAGGTTAGGCTGTTCGTCCATTAAAGCTATTTGTGAGCTGGTCAAAATATCTTGATACAGTTCGATCTATATTCGATGTAGACTTTAGAACATAAAGAAGATCTTTCTCTAATATGAGATGATAGGGAAAGACGCATCTATGGTATACCAATTATTGAGCCCAAGTAAAATGCTACATATCCAAGTGTGAAATGTAATCTCAAACTTCACAAGTCTACATGTAAAAATGTGTTTCTTATTAATAATGTTTATTTAACTATTTCATGACTATTAAATAAATAAAATAATGCACACCAAACTACTACAATCATAAATACTATAATTAATTAACAATTCCTACGACTACACAATTTCCCAATTTTCAAAAATTAGACAATAAAAAATTGAAAGCACAGTACCCATTTTCAGGTAAATGGCCCAATGAACCATCCACACTAATTTAGTGCCTAAATCCACATTATTTATTAGGTCCAAAAAAAATAAAAATTTATTATTTTTTAATTTAAAAAGACGCTAGCCTTAATGGGGGCGGTCAAAAAATAAATTTAAGGCAATTTTTTACGCTTTGTTCGTATGCATGAACATACTTTCACACCTTTTAGAACATTGAAATTATGTGTTTCGGCATCCAAACATTAAAAATTGAGTTAATATTAACAAATACACTACACCAAAAATTGCTTTTTGCAGCGGTCAAAAAAGTTGCCATTGATCTTTTGCAAATTCGGGCGCATGTTGCAGGCTTTGATGTTGCCGTAGAGTGGAAGGTTTTCACAACGTTCAATGCGTGTTGTCTTAAGTTTTTGGCAACGTTCAATGCATGTTGTCTTAAGGTCTTTCATAACGTTCAATGCGTATAGTCTTAAGGTCTTTTGCAAAGTTCAATACGTATTGTCTCAAGGTTTTAGCAATGTTCAATGCGTGTTGTCTTAAGATATTTCGCAACGTTAAGTGCATGTTGTCTAAGGTTTTTTACAATGTTCACTGCGTGTTATCTTCAGGTTTTTGCAACGTTCAATGCGTGTTATCTTAAGTTTTTTGCCACATTTATTGCGTGTTGTCGTTTCTTTAATTTCACTTACGTTTTTATGGCGTCAAATCTCTCTTTATGATATTCTATTATGTGGTATAAAATCCCCTTAATATATGTATGTCCTACAATCGGTCTTTGTATAGACCACAAACCACCTTCAAAATCGTGCCACCAAAAGGACCAATATACCCTACATATTATTTGTATACAAAACCTAAAATTCTCGGTCGGGCCATAGTGAGGCTACAATTCGAACCACGACAAAACCAAGAGTAATTAATTGTCGCAATTAGCCCCAACTTGCCTACTGCGGTTGTATCACAACGTTGGTAAAGTGTAAATCTATTTTTTTTTTTTTTAATTCAAATTTCAATTTTTACTATGTGGTCTAAATATATAATTCAACTATATCAATGAAATAATGGCCAGTTACTTCAAACATAAAGAATAATACTAATAACCATTCACTTTTAAAAGCATCCAAATTGGTCTTGAAACTCCATAATCATTCAAAATTGATCCTTCTCAATTTTCAAAAGTGTGCAAATCAGTTCCCAAACTTTAGATAAATTAAATTTCACTCACAAAACTTATGACTTTCCTTCAATTGCTCTCTTAATGCTTCATATCAATCCTATGTAATCAAGTTAGTCTTCAGTTATTTGGAACCAACTCAAATTATGGTCAAAATCCTCCTTTTTGCTCTAGTATCTCCAAATATGGATTTAAAGTATGAAGACAAAACTTACGTCAAAATAAGTAGAAATTCGCTCAATTTGTATGTGTGTGTGTCTATATATATATATACAAAGTGCTTATGGAATCTACAAGACAGACTTCTACAAATGATACAAAATAAAATTAGTCTTACATTCTACAAACAAATGTTCGAACATCAAATTTTGATTTTGAAAAGAAAATGAAGGTGAAAATTGAGTTTTATAGGTTAGATGTATAACTTTGAGAGTATATACAGATGAGAAGACA